GGGGAGGGAAGGTGGGGGAAGGCAGAGCGGAGAGGAGAGAGAGAGAGAGGGAGAGAGAGAGAGAGAGAGTGAGAGAGAGAGAGAGAGAGAGAGAGAGAGAGAGAGTCACCGAGCAAGTGTCACGGGGATCCTCAGGTGTTTGCTCCAGTCATGGCCGGGAACTCCGAGAAAGTACCGATCGCCTCGGCGGGACCGGAGGACCTGCAGCAGTTCATGCCTCCGGTACGAATCGACCCTTTCAGGCGAAATGCTTCAGCATGGGAGGCATTGGCTTGTGTCTAAAACCCGTCATCGTGGACTCGCTTTCAAATGCTTCGATGTTCTTCTCTTTTTTTTCCGCAGGCGTACTCCACCGTGGCCGTAAAACCTGCAGCGACCGGCCGCGTCCTAAAGGCCGGTATCGCGGTGCTCGTCGCCGGAGCCCTGTTGCTCCTCCTGGGGGCCGTTGGAGCCTTCTACTTTTGGAACAACACTGAAAAACACGTAAGGCAGGCTGCTGTTGCCGTGACTTCAAGCGTGTCCGACGATGAGGCTCTTAAACGGGACATCAAGTCTGTTTTGCTGGACAATTTCATTTGGTTGCAGCGGCAGTAGAGCGACTTTAATTTTGAAAACGTGCCAAGGCACACGCGGCAAGATTGACTTCCATAAAAATTGTGTCCAATTAAAAATGTAGCCTTTTTAATTGGACACAAGCTGCATGATTTTTTTTTTGGGGGGGGGGACTCCAAACTGGAGGCTGTTTTTATTATTTTTGCAGCGTAAGAAAACACATGGATCTAAGTCAAACAAGACATGTTTCACGACAGAGTACATGAATGGGGCCCTTGTTTATATGTGGAGGATCCTGGAAGGATGGGGTGGGTGGGTGGGGTGGGGTGTGTTCCTCTGGTCCGGTTGATGCTCCAGGGGCAAGAGGTGTGTGAGAGGAGAGGGGGAAGCTTGTTTTCTGGTGGCTCGGGTATTTACGATGAAGGCCTCTATAATGTTTGTCAGAAAAAAAAAAAAAGATTGACGACGTGATACATTCGGATGATTGATTCCTGCTGACCTGAACTGAAACGCTGAAAAAAAAACGTCTCTGGGGTTGCGATTTTATATTTTCCCCCATTTTACTGAGGGGGGGGGGGGGAATCTAAATTAGAAAAAAAAAAAGATTGATGACGTGATACATTCGGATGATTGACTCCTGCTGACCTTAACTGAAATGCTGAAAAAAAAATTGTCTTTGGGGATGCGATTTTATATTTTCTCCAATTTTACTGGGGGGGGGGGGGCGGGCTGAC